GAGACCTGACTATCTCAAGCTTAGTGACGGATATAATACTGTACCCGTGAAAGAGGCATCTATAAATAGSAGCTAAATTGAGCCGCTCCAAAGTAAACTCAACCCGACTGGCTCCAGCTAAATAATAAAATTGACATTCTTAAAAGACAGTTAAAAACTGCAAAAAAATAATATTCAGGTCAACCTTTGAACGAACCCTTTGCTAAAGATTTATGTTTAAGCGTTCAAGTTCCATGAACCATCGCGAATCTTAAAGGGAAATGGTCCGCCAGCATTCATTGTGATCGTTTTTTAGATTTTTCATATCATATACACCTACTTGCAGAAACGTTGTCAWAGAAAATAGAACATTAAAACAAGACAAAAGAGAGCGTTCAGCCTCAGTGATCTTCTTTTGTCTTGTCTTAATTTATTCCTTTTTACTAAATACAAATGTCCTATTTTCTATGATAACGTTTTCGCAAGTAAGTGTATACGTTTCGCAGAACCGTAGAAAACACGTGACGATTAATTTCTCAAGATACAATGTAGCTTTACACCTACTTGCAGAAACGTTGTCATAGAAAATAGAACATTTGAATTTAGTAAAAAGGAATAAATTAAAACAAGACAAAAGARAGYGTTMAGCCTCAGTGATCTTCTTTTGTCTTTTTTAATTTATTCCTTTTTTACTAAATACAAATGTCCTATTTTCTATGACAACGTTTTCGCAAGTAGGTGTATGTCCCAGACAAATGTAAGTAACCAGCATTTCACTTCATATAATAGTAATAATAATAATGCTATTTATATAGCGATTATCCAATTCTGTTCTTAGCGCTTTAAAACCACATGACAACTACAAAACACATAAGAGTCTTGGTAGACTGTGAGCTTGAGTTGGCGCCTCTGGCTGCCGCTGCACAGTCCGTCCCAAGATCTCAAACTAAAAAAGTCAAATGTTTTTTGCATGATGGCCGGTGGCTCAAATGAGCTCATTCGCCTTTTGACAGGTTTTGCTGGGAGTCATGCCACCCTCCTCACCAGTGTAGACTGATGGGGGTGCCGGCTTTTAGACGCCGTAGAAAATATTTACGGCTTCATGAGGGCTCGAACCGCGAACCACGCAATTTATACTTTGACACCGCCGTGAAAGCAACACAACTGTTGAGCCTGGGCCCCCTGTGGGAAAATGAGGTGACTTCGAATATCCATTTGCAATCCCTTTCTATGCATCCATCGGTTTAACGGTGGAATCTTAAAGCATCTCCATTCATATAGGATAAAGGAACAATAAAGAGTAAGTTTTTGCTTATATTACGAAGTATTTCTATTTTCAAACATAAACAGAAGCTCGAAAGGGATGCTGGTGGACCATGTCACTTTAATTCAAATTGTTGACCTCTCTAATTTGTTGACCTGTTCTAATTTGAAACCTTTGCCCAAACAAGACTGTCTAGCGCTAGAATTCAGTTCCGTAAGCATACTACTCGAAGCTCCATGCGCGTACTTCTGATGACTAGACTGGTGCATTCCGATGAGATCACAGATATCACATTTGTAAACGAATAGTTTTTTTTATCACATAAAAGCGCAAGTAGAATCTAACATTTACTAACGATATTCGTACATCTATACGATAACACAGGCAACCCAAAACGCGACATGATACATAGATAGATTGGCTAAAAGGTAAAACGTAAGTCGACCTAGCCTTCGGCTAGACCGACTAATAATTCCATTTTGTATAGTATTTTGGATTGTTGTTCCGCAACGATAGCGTGCGTCCATCTCTATCGACAAGAAAAATATATCTGTTCTTATGTCCCAGCCAGCAGTAAACCAAAACTGGTTTTCAGCAAAGTTATAATACATTCAGAAATATTAAAAAWATATATATCACGGAGAGGAATAGGCTCTAGTAATTTTTCCAGGTAATTATTCACGACCTTTGCTAGAAGGAAAATCCCGGATATCTCTTAAATACTYAAGCGCTTTAACGGCCGTAATATAAGGGAGAGTTTTTATCAATTTAAAATTCTAGTTCTAAATAACTTTGCCAGGAGAAAAATCCAGCGAACATGTACTACCCCCTCCCTTCTCCTGCGGATATTCTGTCTTAACACAGGAATCCCACTTAATAGAGTTACTTGCGAAGTGGAGGCTAAACTGTTATTGTGAGATTAAGGGTGCACTGTGGGAATTCGTGTCTAGRCGGACYTACGTTGTGACATAGATCGCATTAAGTAACTGGATTGCATCCTGATAAACGTGAWTGTTCACAGTGAAAACCGGTGTTTACCATCCAACAGACGCCAGTGGAAAACGGAAGAGAAAGGGCTTATACAATGTCGAAACCTATCATAGCTTATTGGAACGTCAGAGGGGTAGGTARTATTTATACTATCGACTTAATAGTGCGAGACATAGAGATAGCCTTTAAAGGCATGCATAAAATATTGGAATATTTGAAACCAAACTCCAGTTAGCCTGAGTTTCATGATGTACGCAGTCTAACTGCATTTAACTGGAGTCCGCTTCATTTTAGTTTKCTTGTATTTGCTTTAAATCGGTAACGCCTGAGACATGAGACGTATCACTACATGAATCTAATTTCACTCAGATATCTAGCCTGCGTAGCCAGGCGTTCCAGTGTCCGCTCCGAGCGCATCTTGGGTTGGAGAAATCAAATGCAAGTTTTCCGCCAAATACTGATGTAAAACCCAAGCATCAAAATAGATCACACTAACGTTTTGTAAATACTTACACAAGGGTGCAGCATCACCCAACAACTTTTCGTTAAGGCTAGTAACGTTTTAAATCAGTCTTCAGTATCACGAATTGCCTCTGAGCTATAGTCGGTGGCTGCACGGCTTGACCCTGTAGATCCTTCGCGAGCAGTGTGTCTGCGTGTATGAAGAGCTGCCAAAAAAATGTTTTAAAAAGCATAGACTGTAAGGAGCGCTCACTGAATTRCAATTTTGATTTTTGTTTTGTATTTTGTTTGTTTGTTGCTGTTTCTTGTCTGTATGTTTATTTCRAAAGACCTAAAATCAGAGTAAGAAATGAATTAGACAAAGTGATATTTCATGAAAAGAAACGGAAAATCACAATGACACGCAGATGCGCACAACATTAACTATTATAGATTTTCTGTCCTAGATCGCAGAATCTATCAGGTATCTTTGTGCGTATACAAAGACAGAATATGAGCTCCAAGAATACGTCACTGGCGAAGGTACTCCAAAAATGCAAATATGAACCTACTAGATGATTTCGTAGATTATCTGAATTTTCGGAAATATTAATTAGGCGAGGGAGGGAGGGTAGGTACGCATCGATATTGCACTAGTAAAAACATCAAATTAAAACTTTAATGGTGTCCTAAAGCATTTCCTCCAGTATTGTTGCTTGTACGAACCTGCCCTGTATTATATGCACCTGCGATATTTTTAAGAGTGCCGTGCATTTTGGAAATCGTCTAGTATACGCGTGCAAGAGCAATTGAATCAAGGGCATCATGATCTTATGGTTGCTCGCGGAAACTAAGGAATGTTCCCGGGGTCTGTGAAGTTTTAACTAACATCAAGAGTGAAGGTCACATCAAAATTACCGAGATTCAAACTGCTCTATTGTTTTTATTATTCAACAACAAAACTTTCTAAAGCGGCGGACTCTGTGCATTGATGTAGTACTCCTCCACGGCATGCACTATCGCGTGACATGTTCGATTCTCGACCAATAAGAAGGAAGGAAAATTTGTGTTGAGTAATAAAAATTAGAGCACGTTGTACTCAATTTATAATAATTATTTTAATT